AATGTCATAAGTGCGAGAACATTTTTATTAAGCATTGTGATTAGCGACACACCCTTAGCCATTCAATTTTATATTTGATGGCTAGGAGTGAGCATGACCTCACTTTGTCTAAAATATCTCAAAATATCTTCATTTGAAATGAATGTCCGGATATAACTTACCTTGAGATTCCCTGTGTCAAAAGATATGTGCTCTTTTGTGAGGAATTCTTGTTCCCTTGAGCAAGGACTTTATTGGGACTTCAAAATTTGATGTACGGTGGTCAACTTGCTGACTAATATAAAATAACACAAGTAAAAAATTTCATGCCCATGCCTCCGCCGGATTGTATTGTCTATATGCTCCCTAGGGCAAAACTCTCTTTTACAAGATTCCATAATTTTATTACTTAAAGGGTGTAATTGGCATACGGATGCATCCGTAGCTGTAGAGGTAAGGTGCACCTTCAAATTTTATCATAGTATATAATTTTGATGTAAAATGTTATTACAATTATCTCAAAATCTATTTTTATATCTAATTATAAAATTTTAAATTTCAAAAATGGTTAAAATCAAGTAGATCTATAAACATATGAAAATTTTGAAAATGGACAGTGTAGATAATATGTTGTAAAATATACTATTTTTTAAACTTAAAATCTTTTTATTTTTCATGGTCATACATCTCGATGTCGAGATGATCAATCAAAGGGTTTTTTAACATTAAAACTACCTTTTCCGATAGATTTTTGAGGTGCATCCGTAGTTCTACATCATAAGGTTGCATCCTTATATAAACTTTGTCCTTACTTAAAATGGAAGTACAACAAGTTTGAGCAAAAGGAACATCCCAGATAAAGGAGGGATTGCAAAACGACGCCTTTCTTAGCACAAGAATCCAGGACATTATTGGCCTCCCTATAAACATATGTATAAGTACCGCTCCCAAATCTAAAACACAGCCAGCCAAAGCGATCTCAATCTTGATACATTGTTGCACCAATTAATAATATTCAATGGGTCTCCCTCTGTGACACACGGTTGTTGAAACCCCTTATCCTTCAAGATTTTCATCCCTTGTTAGGCCGCAAGCATTTTCGCTTCATTTGTTGTTTTATCACCACAAAGGGCCGGTATAACAAAGAATGATTTCACCACTAGAATTCCTCACAACTTCTCCTACTTGAGCTAGTCTTGGGTTGCCCAAAGAGCTACCATTAAAATTCAATTTAATGCTTCTCACTCTTGATGCTTTTCATGGAGCTTTAGGTCTCGTTTTTTCACTTCTATATCAACATTAGATACACCAAAGTCTTCTTTTGTAATAAAAAACCAACTCCACAAAGTATGATGGATCATCCTTTGAACCATTTAAAAAATCCGCCTATTTCTTTCCAACCACACTTCCCATAGAATAACTGCCCTCCCAATCTAAAAACTTAAGCTCCCAACTTTAGGCAACACATCAAAAGTCATATGATCAACAATTTGAGTATGGTTTTTTCCATTTTCTGAAACAACCAACACCATAAATTCATACGTAAATGGGCAATGGAGAAGCAAATGATCCCCTCTTATTGTTCTTCTTACAAAGAAGACAGATATTAGCTAAAACTCTCCCCTTTTTCCATAAGATTGTCAACTGTCAAATGTCAATGTCTTACTTTGGAACAATACCCACAAAAACACTTTTAACTTTATGTGGGATTCACCATGACTAGATCTTTCGAAGAAAGTACTTGTTCTACCTAATCCTATCACGAAACAATAGATTGTAAGCTGATTTCACCGAAAAGCAACCATCATTCTCTACTTCCCATACCATTTCATCCTCTACTCATTGAAAAATGTTCACTCACTCCAGCAAATTGAGTAACTATGAGTATTGATCAATGAAATAACGTCATTTCACTGCCCATGCAGCCCTACCCCTATCAAACACTTCGCTTACCTTCTCCATGGGATCAACAACAGCATTAAACACCTAAGGGAAGGCCAACTTCAAAATATACTCCCCAGCCACTTACCATGCCAAAAAGGGACTTTAGTTCGCTCTCCGATTTCCCATCTTGAGTTTTGTAACATAAACTCTCTATGTGCCCGAAAAAGAATGAGGTCCTAGGATTGAACAAGAACCTTGTAATTTTTAGAAGGCAGTATTTAACTCAAATTCCAAATTACTTTTCATGAAATCAATCGATACTTAGATGGATACCAAAATTTTTCGATAAAAAAATCCAGTCAGGCACACTTTTGTGTCAGACCGCATTATTCCATTGTTTTTACCATGGTACGACAAGAAATATGACGGATTGGAAGAACATTACAAAAAATGCGGTCCATTAGAAAATGTGTCGGATTGGCTTGTAGCTTTTGATGACCTGTCAAGCACACGTTTCTGTCGGATCGAATTTTTGGCTATCTTCTTCCGATCCCTCACTTGTTTTGTTGTGCCTATGCCATACCACATTTTTGGGTAAACTCTACCCGCTTACCCAGTTTGTATTGGACCGATTCCCATTTTTTTTCGAGCAGCGTGCCACATGAGTCGACATAACAAAGAGCCCTAATCTATAATCTAGTTGGATTTCAATGGTATCCCAGCAAACTTAGGAAACTCATCGACATCAATGATCTAGTTGGACTTCATGAGTATCAAAACCTAGGAAACTTACTCATATTTATTTCAATATCAATTCCATATAACATTGGATTCGTATACGGAGATGATTTTGGATATTACCATATCCAACAAGTGATACCAAAATTACCGGTTCATCATTCTAACATCCATGCTTATGAATTCTTCCTTTCTACCAAATGAAACCCTTTCTCAATCATGATGGAAAAGATTGTGTCTCGTTTGATATTTCCCCACCTCCTATAATATAATAGTTCAATGATTGCTCCAGCCAGTATATGCTCTCTAGTAGAAAAGCTACCTAGGACCATAGTAATGAAGATTGGATCGGAAAACCCGGTTTGACCTGTTAGATCACCGATCAGAACTTTGGATGGTCCAGTTTGAAGCAAAAACCTGTTCGGTCAAAAGCCAATTAAAGTTAGTATTTGGCCAGTTTTGGAATGTCTAACTCTCTGGTTTTGACATGTTCAAATTATTTTTTAATTTTGAACCTATTAGTTTTATCTTTCTTATATTTTTCTGTAAAGCATGATTCAACTAGGTTAACTAATGGTTAAAAGGGTTTTGATTGGATTGAACCCCTCACTAATTCGATGGCCAGTCTGATCTCGATAACTATGTTGAGGACCATTGTGTCCCATAAATAGGCCCCATTACTTCTTCGCTAAAGACTAAGCAAATTTCTCTTGGTAGACTCCAATTACAACATCTCAACTTCTATGCCAAAAAATCCAAGATGCCCGAATCTCTATATTATTTATGAGGACTTCAAATGTTTGAAATTACATGTGACTAAATTTTTATTATGGACCACTTAATTACTTTTTGTGATTATTTCTAAATTGTAAATATTTTCCCATATTTTCAAGTTATCATATAGTAAGAAAATTTTAATTAATCTTGATGACATACGCTTTATGCATGAAAATATAATATAACTTTTAGTTTATGATAAACTATGGGATAACATGCACTGCACGTAGAAATGAAATAAGTGATCGTGTAAATAATAACGTAAATATGCAATAGACAGTACATACATATACAATACTTGTTTGCCTAAAGAACTAGGTAAACTCCATGAGAACTTAAAGGGCATATTCAGGTGTAAACTCGTTGATGATTTTGTATACAACTTGTGCAAATACACAATGCTTCTAACAAATTAATTTACAAACAATATTTTTATAGTATAACTATACAAACATAATAATTCTAATATTGCATAAAAACTTAACAAGAAATTAAATATAATATGCATGCATGGGCCCAATTCCGTGATTTTTTTATGGATGTATATATGGGCCACAGGTTAGTGATAATATAAAAAACTCCAATAAATGCACACGTATATAACACTTGTATATATTCTAATAAATACCCATATATAACATTAGTGTATATGCAACACAACAAAAAGACCAGAAAAAACAGAAACGTTCATATTTAATCAAACCACCAGTCCCCGGTCGTCCACAAATAATCAAAACATTTAGTATCATATAAAAATAGAAATAGAGAATGAAACCAATTGATTATATACGTCAAAATAAAAATAAAAATAACAAGGAGTAAATCAATCAAAATATTATATTTGTAATCTATATTCAACACATACGGGGGAAATTGATATATTAGCTTTATAGAGCATGCTGGTCTCTGATCATCTATATTGTAAATAAGATGATGAAAAATTCTTATATATTTGTTCAAACACCTCCATATATACAAATACATATAACGCAAAGGCCAAAATCCATTCATAAAAAAGAAGTACAAAATCATAAAAAACCCTAAAGACGAAAAATACAATTGGCATCAATTATATGCAGAAGAACTTATAGTAAATTTAGTGTATTTCATAACCAAGAAAATATCAATAAAAATAAATAAATACCAAAAAAGCCAAATAGCTTGATAGTATAATATATAAGCTTCAAGCTTGGAGCTCTAAAAAATAGATCGTGAAGTGGGGATACATGTCTATGATTCCTAAGACTCATTTGAAAATGGGCGGAGACCTTTCTCTTCATTTAAAGAAAAATAAAATATATAAAAAGATTTGGGATATCTTTGTCATTTATGAAAATATATAAAGGTATTTTTGTCAATTTTTTTAAAAAATGATTCTATCCGATTTTTTCTCACCTTTACCGATAACCATTAAATTGGACGTGGATCTTCGAAAAAAATAGAGTATAAAAAATTATCATTAAAGTTGATATGAATATTTTAAAAAATCAAATCCCACATCATTTCATAATTTTTTTTAAAAAATCCGTATCTCACATCACCTAATAATATTTTTTTTTAAGAGTACCGTACCAATGATATTTCGGGCCATTACAGGTGGGCTGGGGTTCGATAGGATCATTACTCGAAAGTTAAAGTGCTCTGGTTCTTTGGCATAAAGCTTCAGTTAAAAAGTTACAAAACTCTAGCTCTTTGGCATCAAGTTTCAGTTTTGAAAAAGATCAGAGAGAGAGAGAGAGAATGGGAATGGGAAACTGGTTTCGAAACTGGTGGCACAAGGAACCCCCACCTCCAATGGTGTTGGTCCCACCATTGTTTGATTTCCCCCCATTGGCTGCGCGAACCAGGTGATTTCCACTTCTCCATTTCCCAATAACCCATTTCTAAATAATCTCCTTTTGTTCACTAATTTTCTGTTTTGGTGGATATTTATATTTATGTCTAATCATAGTTTATGATTTTTATTCGAGTATACAAGTTGGAAGATTTATCAACCATAAATTGTTGATGATTCTGGCAAAACCAACGTTCGACATTTGGTTGAATATCACTTGATCTTTCTCTCAAAACTATTTCATCATTTTCTAGGATTTTCAGATTATTCTTTCGTTCCCATATTCAATTATTAGCGGATGCTGAAATTCTATTTAATTATTTATTCACTAAAAATTGTGGCTATGTCGAGCGAATGTGAGATCATGTACATACAGGAGAGGATTGCATTCAAAGTACTCGTATTTTGGTAAATTGTTTTTCTTTTGTGTTGTTTTAATTTTCCTTATTTGGATGGATAAGTACTTGGAATATTTGATTTTGCACTGGGCTTGGCGTTTTCCAGGTATTATTGGCATTGATTTTTTGGTTGTGATTTCGATGATTTTGATTTTTCCATGATGAACGTTTAACAACGCATGTAGTTTGGTTATAAACCTGCCAAATAATCTGGCTACACTTGGTTAATGCGATATAAGAAGGACCCCATGATTTAGTTGTAAACAACCTGTTTGTATTTGGCTACTGTCATATGGAATGGGGTAATGATATTGGGAATGGATCCATTGATGTTTATTTTAACATAATCCTGACAAGTGATGTAAAAGTGGAGGGACCATCCTCATGGCTTTTGATCATGAGGTGAATATGTGCCACTAATGGGTCGTCAATTCTTTGTGAAGTTTTCAAATTCTTAACATGTATTACATCGGCTAAACCAGTGCTTTAAAATTTGGCTGAGTCGACTCGGACTCAGCGGAGTTACCAGGCCTTGGCACCTTGCTGAGGCGAGTAGTGGTGCCCATAATGGGGAATATGGGCACCTATATAGTACTTGGGTAAGTACCACAAGGACTCGCCGATTACTATAAAACTTGGGGGATATTCACCTGAGTTATAGTACTCAGGCTAGTTCGTACAGTTCTCGCCGCAGCATTGTTACTAAAAGAATAAAAGGGGGGATGGAATTCCGGACCCCTTTTTCCATCTCTCTCTATCTCTACCTCCAAGAACTTTCCCTCTCTTCCCAAATGCTCGCTCTCTCCCCAAATGCTCTTTCCCCTCTTTCTAATTTATGCAAAACAATGAGCTTACCATGTTACATTGCAGTCCTCGATTTCTCATAGCTCGAGAGGTGGAAGCTAGGGTTTGAGAGGTGTTGTCCCAACCTAAGCCATTGAAAAATAGTTTCTTGTGTTGGGGCCCAATGGTCTTGAGAGAGAGAGAGAGAGAGATGGCCAAATATGCACTTTTAGATATCTCTCTTGGCCACACGGCCCATGCTCCACAGCCCTCCCCCCTTTCCCTCTTCACTGCTTGTTTGAGGCATTTTTTGGCTTGGGCAAGACCAGGACAGTCCACTAGGACGTGCTTGAGTTATTCAGCTTGGGCAGGGCCAAGTCCCAAGCCAGAGCTGAGTAATTTAACACGGGGTTGAACGGCTAAAAGTCTATTTGTTTTGTGAAAGAAAGGGGTACATAGATAATAGCACTGGCATGTACTTTGTACTCATCTCTTTATTGTGAACATCCCTGTCTCATGGTTTTATGGATTTCCTTTTCTACACAAAACTAAATTCTTGTTGTATGTAAATTGAGTTAGGTTGCTAATGTTGTGATTTTTATTTCCCATTGCAGAATGTTGGTGCCTGCTTATGATCTGTTATTCGGAAAGCTTGCTCTCAAATACCTTTTTGAGGATTATTTTGAAAATGCAGGGCATTTTACCACGAGCATGATGCTCAAGCCTATTGATGACCCTCATGTAGATTTGATTGCAACTATACAGGGTGAATGTTTACCATCTATTTTCTTGTTTAAGAAAGAAAATAATTCAGCATTTATCATAATAAAAGGAAAACTGCTTTGTTAGTTGTTGCAAGCCTTGTGCAAGTCTTAGACGAATATTTATGATCAAATTTGACTTTTCTGGCAGTACATATAACGAATTACTCTTTTAAATGCTAAAAATAATAGTATTTGGCTTTAGGAAATTGAGATTAAGTAGAATAAATTCATCAGATATGTGCTTGATTACAAAAGAGGATGAATGAAATTTAGGTGTTTTTTCCCCAAAAGAATTAAAATGCATTTGAAGTGCACATAATTTGAGCACCACATTGTGGAAGTCATCATGATGGGCATGTCAAACCATTGTTCGCATTTTTGTTCTATCCATTTGGATTATAATATTTTTTTTTTGGTTTTCGAGAGTGATGGCTATCTCATTCAAGATAAACATTCAGACTGATTTATTTTTACCATTTCAAATAGATATCTGGGAGATATTTGTTCGCTCATGCAAAAACTGGAACTTTATATTAATCTCTTTAGGTTTCAGGTCCTATTGATCCCAAGAATCCAGAAGCCATTTTTTCAAATGCATCATTTCGCTGGCAAAGGTATTTGTTAAAGCTTCATTCTGTCATCAGTTTTCCATATTATTACTTTGATAATGTAAATGGGGGTTATTACTCACTCTTTGTTTCCACACATGAGTAGGGACCCTTATGATCCTCATACATTTATGGAGGTCTCTGTTTCAAATTCTACAAAGTAAGAACATTTGTTTATTGTAAATGTTTTGCTTGTTTATGTTTCTGATTGTTTTGCAGCTTTACTTCCATAAAATATCACAGTATTGGGACGCGCCAATATTTATTATGCCTTATGTCTTTTGTCTTATAGCATTTTGTGCTTGAGGTCAAGTGCCTACTATCCTAAATATGGCATTGGAGTATTCGCTGTACTCCCTCTGCTAGCACAGAAAAGGTATGGGGTTGTTCTCACTTCTTTGACTATCAGCTCTATGTGATGAAAACTTGTGATACTTAAGTATCTGACAATATGAATTCCATTATACTATTTGGTAATAATTATGTTTGTTAGTGATCTGCTATGGTGCAGTTAGTGTAACCATTGAAAATTCTTATTTTGTCTGAAGTAGGTGTGATAATTAGATATTGGAAAGTACTAAGTGCTTATATTTCATTTTGAAGATGACAACTAATGGAAAGTACGAGTATTTATATTCCATTTTGAAGATGAAAACTGTATTAATCACATGCTTGAACCTTATTTTTACTAGTTTCCATCTGTTGTAAATTTGTGTCAGCTATGGGTTGAAATGTGAATACTGTAGTTTGAGTCAATTGCTATACTTGTTGAAGAACATTCTCTTTAAACTTTTGACATTGATATACTGAATATTTTCATATGATATAGTTATATGTCTTTGGTTTCTAAATTCCAGTCTTGGAATTCTATTACTTAAAACACTCTTTTTGAATTGTTAATGTGCAGGGTGCTTTCAGAGAATTTTGGTGTCACGGGTCTGAGATATGGCTCTGAGAAGCTATCAATAGGAGCCACCTTTATGCCATTTCCATGTATGTAATCTTGATCTCATCATCATCATCATCATCATTATCATCCGAGCCTTATCCCAACTATTTGGAGCTGGCTATACAAATCTTATTCTGCCATTCTACTCTATCAAGGGCCATACCCTCAGTCAGACCATAAGTCACTCCATTTCTTCTCATTGCTTCCATTCCTGTGCTTTTGGGCCTTCCCCTTGCTCTTTTAGCTCATTCCACTTGAACCAAATCACCCCTCCTAATGGATGCTATTCTAGGTTATTGCTGTACATTGCTAGACCACACAAGTCTACTTTCCCTCATCTTATTGCCTATTGGAGCCACCCCTCGGCTGTCTCAAATGTATGTAATCTTGCTTTTCATGAATGAAATATCTTGATTGTGAATTTGCTCGATTATTTATTACAGAGAATTGACATTCTTGTGTCATTGATAGTTTTCATGAGGAGATGAATTCATTCTGCTTGCAAACCTCTTAGAGTATTTTGAAATATATTTCTCTAGTTCTCTTGTTATGGTCCGAGTACTTTTTACTTGTCTTAGGAATGATCAACTTTCAACAATATGCCCTTTCATTTTAAAAAAGAAGAAGACAATACGCCCTCTCATCTAAGGTGTGTCCAGTGTATATTTGAAGCATATGATGCATGCTGATTTATCCTTTTTTTCCTTTATTGGATATTTGAGTTATAAAGCTTGTGGAAAATCGAGCCTTCATCTTCATTCTTACTGAGTCTGCTAAGGCGGTGTTTTCTTTTATGAATGATTTTATCTTGGATTGCCCTGGAAGTCTTCTAGATGGTATGGCTTATAAGAGGATTTTCTTTTAATTTATTTTGTCATCTATGGTTTAGCCACCGACTTTCCAAGAAATGCATGGGCAGTAGGCAGGATGGGGAGACTGACTGCAGGAGTTCAGTACAAATCAACCTGTGAGTATGGTTCACCATGAATTTCATTCATAACTACTTCTTACCAGTAAAATCCTGGTATTTGAATAAAATCTCATATGCCATATCCGCCAACTTTCTAAATTTCAATGCTTGCATGTGACTAGCTTTTTCCTCTATATTTGGGCAATGAAGGACCTGCTTTACTATTTAAGAGCAGCATGATTTCAACGCACAACAAAACATTATTCACTTCCAAATGTTTGGACACTGAAGATTGGGAATGATGCATTTAAAGTTATATGCTTCCTAATTATAAAAAGAAAAAAATGAAGAGATATGTTCCTCCCAATTACTATAACCTCAAATCTTTAGTTGACATTGTCCACGTGTTAGTATGATGAGCAAGCTTTATGATATGAAGCTTGCACTTGAATGGCTTGAAATTCATGCATTTCTAAATTACTACTCCCAGTTTCTTTCTGCGAATATATTTGTGATTCGTGAGTGCTATAAATGCAGAAAGCACTTTTATCATGTGAGATCTATACTTATCGTAGTCTGTGTACACTAATCCTTCTTTATTTACTTATCTTCCACTAGGTTGCTCTCAATAGATGTGCTGAATATATTTTACTGCTTGAATTTGAAACTACATGGCACTGATCGATGTGGCCAGTCCATGAATTCATTTATTTAAGCATAAATGCTGAATAAGAACACAAATGAAGTCATTTTTTAGAATTCCGGTAAAAGCACATATGAAGTCATATTATTTCTCAAAGAGTTTCTATGACATGAATATATTGGCTATTTTTGGGGTTGTCTGTTTCTTGAACTTTTAAGGAGCACCATTGTAGGGTTTATCAAATTGCTTATAGCGTACGTGCATAAGTTATGACCATTATATTTGAACTGAAAAGGTAAGCTATGTATCAATCTTGTAGTGAAATCCAGCACATAATTTTCAAAGCTCATAATATTTAAACAAGCGATTTCTGATTCCTATCTCTCTAAATCAACTGGGATACATGGTACTCTTTATGCATGAGACATGCTTTCTTATATAGAATGTATTTCAAAAGGCATCTTCTTTGCCCAATTTTGACTCTCATGGTTTGGATTATCCTATGCAATATGCAAGTGCTTATGGATCACATACTTCTTTCTGACATTATATATAAAACCTAACTTTATGAATGTACTACCTTTTTTGTTCAAAATTGGTATGCTTTCAGTTCTTTCTGAGAAGAGCTTCTGTAAGATATACTGCTAATATTCTTGGTCGTGTTATCCATTCAATATATACTTGTTGAATCTTTCTTAAGGACCTTCTGTTTAACTAATCTTACTATTTATCAGTGGAAAGCAAATCACCGGAGAGATTTGATGACATCAAGAATTGGAGCTGTGCTATAGGCTATGGGCTAGGCTTAAACAGCCCCATAAATCCATCATACAATTTTGGTCTTGAACTTGTTGGTGGTACAAAGGTCAGATAAATTACTGCTGTTATTTGGGGTAACTTTTCGATTTTAGTAATTTGGTTTTGAATCTGGATAGTGCTCACAAAAGGTTTGCATAGACTGCCTTTTATTAGAAACAATTTTAGCAAGGCTTACAGAATTTCTGCTTGTGGAACCTTGAAAGGATGAGTCGTTTGTCTTAATTGATATGAGTCTCTCAGGCATGTAATCGTTGTTAGGTGGGTCAAAGTAATGATTTCTTTTATTATTCTTGAAATATATTATATTTCTTATTTGCATATTATTTCCAAGAATTTTAGTTAGTTGAAATGATATTCATGATCTACTAAAATTATATGACGAATTGTGCCCCCAACACAACATCCTAGGCTCGCACTGTTAGCAGTTCAAAAAAATAAAATAAAAATTATATGATAAAACATCTCTAGCTTGTTTTGGTGATCTACAGTTCGAGGCTGTGTACCTCAAACCTGTTGCAACCTATTTGGTCTCCTGCTGTAGCTTCGTGACTCTTTGCCGAGCAATTTGGTAGCTGATGATTGTTAAACCAAATGGAATGCTAGTTGTGACTTGTGATTATTTACTCAACCCTTCTTGGAAATTATTCATAGGTACAGAAGCTGGATTTAGAGGAATGAAATGTAATTAATCTCCTGACATTTGATTTTTGGACCATGGTACTTGCTTACAGCTATAAGTCTCCATTGCAAGAAAATAACAGTGAGTTCAGCTTTATGTAGATTTGGAATATTTTTGGGCTATCTTTTTATTAAATTTATATACATGCACACACATATACCCGCCTAGCTCTAATGAGCTTATGCTACAGTTAGGTTATTTTCCATATTGCATGTGTATGTATGTGCATGCATGCGTGCGTGTGCACACGTGTGTGGGTGCATATGCAAGGCGAGTGTTCACGTGCTTGCGTTCGTGTGTAGCGTCCATAGATCCAAGATTTGTCAGTTAAGTCTCTAGACTCTTCCCAAATAATTATTTCTAGAAAAATGGAAACTTCAACAAATTTTTAGATATATGGAAACCCCAAAAATGGAAAAATGGACATGCCAAAAATGGAAAAAGAGAAACCCCAAAAGAAATTGCAGAAAGCATTTACTAATTTTTCTTTTGCTAATTTTTTTCTTAATATACTTTTCTTCTATTAAGATGGGGGAAATCTAACAGATCTCGTCAGTGTCTGTCTCCTCTTTTTATAAAAGAAATATTGTTTGTCTTTTGGTGATTTCCTATTTTTTTATATGTGATATGATCTACTGAAAAAACACAAAATTGCTGAATATTTAGTTAATGTGATTCAGATGTCTCTGTTGATTTTCATTGTCAAAGTTATGCTTCTCTTTCTTGCCGGTCTAGGATATTGGAAGATAACTTCTAAACTTTTCCTTTTACGAATGGAAAATTATCCTGATGGCTGGAAGTTTCAGAGTAGCAGTCTATTAATCATTTACAGCTTATAGAGTTGCCTTTCAATTTGCAGATGATTTGTTAGTAACTGTTCATAGGCCCTGCAGTGCATATGATCAAATGCATATTCTCTGCTAGACCATATATAGAAAGTGGTTGTTTTTGTATAGCACAACTTAGATAGTTTTCTTCAAATTCCAATCTAATCTAATATTTTGTTATGTCATCAATTTGCAGCTGATCTCATCATTTTATCAGCATGTTGTGGTTCAGCGAAGGGTATGTTTCATATGTCCAATTTCTATCTTAGAATGTGCGATGCCATTTGACTAATATTTTATGGGTTTATCATTCCAAAAGTGGGTTGAATTTCATATCTTGAATGTCTTGCTACTTGTATCCTGAAGTGCTGGATTTTATTTGATCCAATACACATGCTTTCTAGTTTATCATTATGTCTAATTTGGCGAGGACTCTATATTTTGACCTGAAAATTTTAAGATAATAGAATGTGCTCGCCATGAATAAGGCAGGAGAGCTTCAAGCTGCTGAATGCTACTGTTTGAAAAGCCTCTTCATTTATATTTATTTTACTTCTTTATGGAATTGCTTCTATGCCTGTATTGCATGGTCTACATTTCAGACTAACATGTTTTATTGGCGTAGGGATCATAATGGATTATGAAGAAATATAAACTGTTTTAAAGGGACTTATTATTGTCTAAATTTAATAATTGACCAAACATGTAAGTGGCCATGTATCTTGAAATTGGTTATTGCTATTGTTAAGTGTGCCTTGCTCTTTTGGCATTTGCCCACTTCCTTTGAGGATTTCCTATCTTGAGAATCTTCTATTAAAACTCATTGATTATCTAGGGGATCTATGAGGGATTTGAAACGACTCTTTTTTATCACATCCAATATGCTGATGAAACCATTTGCATTTTTTTCTTTCTTTTGATGGCTATTATCTTTTTCCAAAGCAACTACTGTCAAGCCCATCATTTTGGAAATAATGCCCAACTATGTGGAAGCAATTTATACACTTTTTATTGTACCTCTGCCTAAACGTTTAACCTCAGCAAACTTGGAACTTGTTCCGTTGCTATCTTTGATTTAGTCCTTAGTATCCAACTGCCACTTGTGACCATTTGGTCAAGAGGTGGTTCTACCGTTGTTTAACTAATTAATTAGTTCTTGGCTCTTGTAGATCATTCAAATGGAGCAAAGAGGACCAAGGACTACGCAGTCCTCTTTAGAAACAAAGCAAAAAGTTTTCACTGGGGAATGCTAATTTATATTATCTTTTGCTTTCAGTTTGGCCATGCATGCACTATTCTTCTTTTTCATTTTTGCTTTCTGGATAAGTAAAACTTCACATGGAAAAATTACAAAAGTCATGAATAGATGCATTTTAAAGAAAAAAATATTTCTTGTTTTTATGGCTTTGCCATCTTGTGAAATATAAATTTAATAGTTCAATTGTGCAGGTTAAGAATCCACTTGAAGAAAGTGAAATAGTTGGAATCACAAATTACATTGATTTTGGTTTTGAGTTGACATCCAGGTAAAATGACACGTATGAACTCAATGTACGTTATTGTGTGTTTTTTAATTTTGGAGACAAGTAAATTTAACATTTACCTTGATCATGGTCTAAAGGATTAATGGATCTGAACCATCAAAGAGCTTGGAAGCATCAAACATTCAAGTAGCTGCATCATGGCAAGCCAATAAGAATTTTTTGGTGAAGGTGTGTTTTCATCATGTCTAAGCGTTGAACTTTCAAATGGCTATTTTGGTTAGTTTATGAACATAATTGGACGTCACTGAAATAGAATGCATAGTAGGTTGATTTCTAACACTTGCAATGGCAGGGAAAGCTAGGCCCTCTCAGCTCATCTGCTGCTTTAGCATTCAAGTCATGGTGGAAGCCTTCTTTTACCTTCAGCATTACAGGTATTTGTAGTGGTTTGTTCTTTGGCCCCTCTAGGTAGAGGTTGTTTGCATGAACCCCTTACACCTCTATTACATTCCCATGCCATTATCTTTCCTTATTGGACATAAAGTTACAATAAAAATGCATTACCATAGCTAAATGGTGCTCACTCTTTTGCGATTAGTTTTTAGTTTTTCACTTAGCGTTTTTCTATTCTCAAAGATGACATAATCTTTATTATCTTTCCTTGTCAAACCAGATCTTAAAAAAGCATACCTATCAGAAAATCACACTCAATCTCACTCAGATGGCAATGCGATTTCCTAAAAATGGGTTGAATCATTCGTAGAAGAAAAGATTTGGTTAGATGATGATTAAGCAGTTAAGTGAGCTTTAGCTTTTTTTATTACACGATTTACTAGTGGTAAAAAGAGTAATGATCACTTTAAATGTGATCCAAATAAATAAAGGACAACAGCACACAAAATTACTTACAATTTAAAATCATAAAAATATCAATTAAATGGCCAAACCACCTTGCAAAATCATTTAGGTAGTCAAATCACCCCATATAACGTTAAGCTTGTTACTTTCTAAGTTCTATTTCACTTAGGTACTTCCTGAAAAAACATGGTCAAATTTGATCAAATTGCCTTGTTCAAAACTGGGAACCCTGACCAAGTAGGGGCATTTTGGAAATATGGTACCACATAAGCGACCCGAGCCAAATGACCATAATATCCCTGGCGGTTCATTGTTAGTAAAATGGAATATGGGTTTAGTATGAGAAAAAGTGAGCTCCGTGTTGCTAACCCTTGACAATAATGGGTATTATCATCATTTGGCAGTTATGTGTTGCTAACCCTGAACAACCAAGGGATTATTGTCATATGTATTGGGCCACTTAAGTAGCTCAATTACCAAAACCACCCAGCTTGTTTAAGGTTCCTTAGGGCTGAAAATTTATCCGGTCTGGGTCTGGATTTGTAACCGAAATCGGATCCTATTTTGATCTGAGTATGGATCGAAGATTTGGAGATGGATCCAAAAAGTAGATCCAAATAGAAATTCGGATTGGATCCGGGTACAGGTGGATTCGATCTGAATTTCGATACAAGATCGAGGGGGAAAGCTGTGTCATTTGCAGAAGAGATTGGGGCTCCATGCCAAATTCTCCGTCTATATATCACAGTTGAAACCCTTGCTCCAAAAGACACTTGATTGCGCGCTGCTGTTCTCAAGTAAACGAGTCTCTCTCTCTCTCTCTCTCCTATTCTCAAGTAAAGGACTCTCTCTCTCTCTCTGCGATTCTCAAGTAAAGGATTCTCTCTCTCTCTCTTGTTGCAAGAGTGGGTGTGGCCTCCTTGAGTTTACTGTTTTAACTGGCTGGGGACTTGAGGAACTCCTTGGTTACAATCCTTTTATGAACGGTTTTTTGAATTATTTTTGTTTTTTAATGGATTGGAGTATATGTGCTGGTATTGTGATGTGGTTATAATCTTTGAGAAGTGATTTTTCTCTAATAAGAACTTGGCATGTGACTGAGGACATTTTGTTTTCCTTTGCTATTTTCCATGTCTTTTCTTGAGGTATCTAGTTTTTTAAATGTCATGTTTATTCAACAAGAGGAAAATTGGGAGTAGCACGATTTGATTTTCTTGAAAAAAAAATTCCTTAGTTTATTCTAACTTATTAATATTTCTTAATATTCATCTATTTCCTTTTGTTTAGGCTTTTGTTCCTTTATTTTTGGCCCTAGGAATTTGGAATTTTGTGAATGAATGATGCAATGCACTGGGCTTTGGGCTATTTTCGCTTGCAAATTGATGGAAATACATTTTCCTAAAAAGCATTGTCCAACCATAGCGTGCAATCAACAGCCACCAAGAGCCGCAATACCAAAATCAAAATTAACTCAAATAGGAGGGCATGGACTAACACCAAAATTGGAATTGATCCGGATTTGGGTCCTATATATAGTTTCGAATTTGCATTCGGATCAGGATCCGAATATCTGGATCCTATTGGATCCGGATGGATCTGGATTCAAATCTGATGTACTATTTGGATCTGGATTCAGATCTGTGTAGATTCGGACCCGATCCAAAAAATTCTTAGCCTTAGGGTTCCCATTCCTGAATAAGGACAATTTGGTCATTTTTTCAATTTTCCTTAAGAGGTATATGATTGAAAATGAATTATAAATAGTAACAGTGAATGGGATGATTGATCACCTTAATGATTTTGTAAGGTAGTTTGACCTTTTAATTGATATTTTCTCTTTAATATATATTTGATTGAATAAAATACCCCTTCAAATGATGCATTAATAGAACAACAATATGCATATAATGCTGATGTTGAATAGGACTTTATGGGCGAAGATCTGCTCATATTTAGATTGATGCAGAACCTGGCTATTAATTTCATTCAAAAAGCTAGTATCGCGGGAGGTTGGGAGGGTTGATGCCTCAACATAACATCCCATCCTCCATTCCCATTGCTAAGGTATCAAAAGAAAAAAAAAAAAAGAAGCTGCTATTGTGATGCTTAAAATTTTGTTTAGACAAAATATGATGGTTTTAAGAAATATGAGCGCTAAAGTATGGTTCAAATATTCTGCAAGTTGTCATTGCTTGAAAAAAAAAAAAGACTTCTGCTAGTTGTCAAACCTTGAAAGGCAAAATACTCTCAGAGATAGGTACAATAATTTATGAAAGAATAATTGACTTGATGCTCACAAAGTGTACAAGCTTTGTTATAAATATGTTAATGTTGTATTTCATTTAGTCATCGGGACCTAAAACATTATTAGGGTATGATGAACAGTCCTACTATTTTTCTCTTTATTTTCTTTTAGAGTACCATACATCTTTGCTTCAAATAATTGACTGGATGCTCACAAAGTGTACAAGCTTTGTTATAAATATGTTAATGTTGTATTTCATTTAGTCATCGGGACCTAAAACATTATCATGGCATGATGAACAGTCCTATTTTTCTCTTTATTTTCTTTTAGAGTACCACAGATCTCTGCTTCAAATATCTTGCAAAATCAATGTGAGATCAAATAAATGTGATATCACGATTGAGCAAAAGATCTGCCTTTTTCTGTCGGCAGCTGTTAGGGATCATCTTGTGGGGAAGACAGCGTATGGATTTGGGATCCAAATGGAAAATCTAAGAGAAGCAAGGTTTGTTATACTGTTTGTGATAGTTAGTCATTTTAATTTATAGTTTTGCAGTAATTATTAGTGTTTACTCCCATTTGATCTGCTTGCGTAGATTTTTTTTGCAATTAAGTGCAATAAGTTTGTACATTGTGATTGATCAGTTTGTTCTTTTTATTGGAAATTAGATACTTGCATCCATGGTACTTGACCTACTTACTAAAATTTAGCTAGCAATGGAAGCACATACTTCTTCTTGTAATAGGTGCATTCACTACAAGTTGGATCTAAAAGTTTAATAATGGTTTTTTAAAAAATAGTTCCTAACAATTTCGAAAAGGTTTCCTATAAATCAGAATATAAATGTATGAAGTAAGCCCATGTTGTCAAGCATAACCATGAATGAATGGAACATGGAAAAGAGGTTAGACATGACACTGGAAGGACCCTAAACACCTGGAAGGATAAGTTAGTAACTAGAGCAAAAGGAGAGCTAAGCGTTGAAATAATTTGTGTCTATTGTAGGCATGCTTCCCAGTTTCATCGTATGAAATTTAAGGGAAGAACCCAGCAAGAAAGCTGGAGGCGCCTTTAGAAGGATGGTGGAATTACATAAATCCCAATAAATTCTTTTACGAGGATCCTTGCTTGTTAGAAATGCCCTAAGCGCTTGCTAGGCTCCTCCTTATCGAAACCTCGATCTTTCATAGACAGATCAGAAACATGAAAAGTATAATAAAGGGATGTGAAGCATGAGACCCAAAGATTGTGGAACCAAAATGATAGACTAGGAATGGGATTTTAGGTGTTTATGTTTTGGAGATCAATGGCAGAGAAAACTCCAGTGGTTTGCTGGCATTTGTTTTCATTAGGTCACAACCCGTTTAATTTTTCCCTCTTATGAGGATCCTTGCTTGTTAGAAATCCTAGAATCTTGCTAGGCTCCTCCTTATCGAAACCTCGATCTTTCATAGACAGATCAGAAACATGAAAAGTATAATAAAAGGATGTGAAACATGAGACCCGAAGATTGTAGAACCAAAATGACAGACTAGGAATGGGATTTTAGGTGTTTACGGTTTTGGAGATCGATGGCAGAGGAAACTTCGGTGGTTTGCTAGCCTTCGTTCTCATTAGGTCACAACCTGTTTGATTTTTGTGCTGTTGCAGATCAAGATCATTTAATTAGGTCACAAACACACACACACACGCACACGCACACGCGTACGCACA